GGTAAAAACCGCCAGTTATTCAATGCCCATTTCGAAAGGACAACATATTAAAGAATCAAATTCACACAAGTCTTCATCCATAATTCATCAAAATTTATCGACTGATTCTAATATGTCCGTTGAGAATAGCGCTCCTCCTAGTAGCGCAACAGAAATTGCAAACTTTATCGGAGATGATTGGCTAAAAGATTTAAGTGTAGATTCGAGTAATCCTAAAGAAAATGTTTCTAATATTGAAAAACACGTTATCGAATCTTCTGATGACATAATCGAAAATGAGCAAGAATCTCGAACTCAAATTGCAAATTCATCATTAAAAAAGAACATTGACAATACTAACGAAACTTTCTCGACAGAAATGATTAATTCAATTGATAGTGGACATAAAAATACAAGTTCAGATTATATACCAAGCAATAATAGCACTTCAATGAATGAATCAAAAAGTTTAAGTTATGATTCGGATCTCCCTATTAAAAATGATACACTTTCGATTGATGTTCATAATGTTCTTGTACCTAACTCAAAAAATGAGAATAAAAGTTATTCACTCAAACAGTATTTTTGTCCGTATTGCAAAAAACTTCAAAAAAAGTTTGCTCTGCATTTGGAACTAAAACATAAAAATATAACAGATGTTTCTAAATTTATGCATTTTCCAAAATGCAATTCAGAACGACGCAAAATTATTGAAAAAATTCGAAAATATGGAAATTATCTTCATAACACTGATGCCAATTTAAATACAGGAACTCTCATACTTTGTCGACGTCCTCAAGCAAAATTTAATAATACTGTCGAAGACTATGTGTGTTGCAAATTTTGCAAAGGATTTTTTTCTAAAAGAACTTTAAGGATACATTACGCAAAATATAATTTAAAACACGAGAAAGGTAAAAAAGGTCAATTTATAGAAGGAAAACAGTTAATGGGATATGCACATAGTCGTGCTAATGATATAATGCGTCGAAAAATTATTCCGTCATTTAATGATGACAATATTTCAAAATCGATAAAATATGATGAACTTCTGATTTTATTCGGAAATAAATTATGCGACACATACACACATTCTCATCAGTACGATATGATTAGAAATTATCTACGGCTTCTTGGCCGCTTTAAATTGGCAATTAAAGGAATTAACAACCAAATATCTGATTTTGCGTCCATTTTTCATCCTAAGTACTACGATGACGTTATAAAGGCTGTTAAAATATGTGCAAATTATAATTCAGAGTTACAAATTTTTCAAACACCTTATAACGCAACTACCCTTGGAACATTGTTTAAAAAATGTGTATTATATTCTCTTAAAAACTTTAAAAATATTATAACAAGTATGTAAAGAACAGTTAGAAATTAGCTATAAATGATGGTCCTAAAAGAATCCTGATAATGAGTATGTATATAAAATATACTTAAGCTACATTATAAAACATTCCGAGAAAAATTTTATTTGATGTATTATAGTACATTATATATTTCGAGTAAAATTTTCCTCAGAAGGGAAGTTTTGGAATATAGCCTAAGAATATAAATAGTACTTTATGCTTATGTGCAATAATTGTTACAAAGAAATGTTTTTATAAAAAGTAATTCATAAATGCAAAGATTCATTTATAGTTGTTAAAATATTTAGGATTAAAATGTAATTTGTGTAGAAAATTATATCCTTGAAGGACAAACTTCGACGACCTCGACCTTGACGTTAAGATCATGATTATGAGTAATATTCAGAAGATTTCAATCGTCACTCGTTATTTATTAAAAAGTAATTAACAATTAAAGTTGATAGTACAAGTTAATGAAATTTAAATTAGCTACTCCCTCTTCGGCCTCTTTGAGGCTCGTTTTTTTCGATATATTTTTTGTCACTGAATACAGATCTGTCCCTTCTTCTACTTTTTCCTACTCCTTCCACCTGTTTAAGCATTAAAGTGCAATATAATTAAAAAATATATATGAACAAATATTATGATTTCTTTTTCTTATTAATCCAATTGATGAAGACTAAGTATAGTCGAAAGGTTCCTATGTTTTTATTAATGATCCTTGCACCTGTTCGAGCGTTATAGTGCAATGTAATTAAAAAATATATAGGAACAAATATTATGATTCCTTTTCTTATTAATCGGGTTGATGAAGACTAATTGTAAGTATAGTTGAAATGTTCCTATGATTTTATTGATGAAAAAACTAGTTCAATTTTTAATGTATGATTTAATAAACTAGTTCAAATTTCAAGATTCAATAAATGTGCTCGTGTTTTTTGACCTTTCTATTCACATTTATTTGCTTAGCAATCTTGAGCTTAGAAAATTTATGTATTTAATTTAATTTTTATAAAATAAAATCTAAAAGGCTTAAAAATCATAACATACCCTGATAGCACTGCCTACAGAGACAAATTTTGAATAGAATCTGCTACCAATTTTTGATTGCAGAAAGGCAACAAATTGTACACTTTGTATTATCTGACATTGTCAGCAAATTGCTGTCGGAAATATGATAGTCTCCTAAACATGGTATGCCAGTAGATTGGTGGTAGAAATCTAATTAAGTTCTACATAACCTGACAGTAGAATGATAGCAGATTGAGAGCAAAATCTGATTCGAGCAGACTGTGCTTGGTTTCTGTCACCAACCTTCTGGCATAGTCTATCAGTAGGCTTTGTCGACAAATAGTTAAGCGCGGACACAGATGGTTATAGTTTTGTAGTGAAAATTTGATCGAGTTTAATAATTTGATGCTAATTTGGCGCAATTAATTCTTATGCTATGGACGTAATTATCACCAAAAACATAATACTTTCTACATTTATATTTCACTTTTGGTTTTTTTAAAGATGTTTCGGTCATGTAAGAAAGAACGGAAAAAAAATAAGACGAACAAAACGTTAACTGTTGCAATCAAATGACTGTATTATGTATATTTAAGAGATACGTTCAGCAAAAATTATTACATATTTGTGATCATATATTGTATTAATTGTACAAAATGAACCTTAAAGTCACCAAACTTATTTTGCCGACTTATAAAATATATCAGTGTTGCAGTATAATGTTTAATTTGAGGACATTTCCTTTTGGCACACTCATTGTATAATTTGGAGACATTTATAGAGGTATTGTATAATTTGAGGACATTCATACAGATATTGTATAATTTGGAGACATTAATACAGGTATTATATAATTTGGGGATATTCATACAGGTATTGTATAATTTGGGGATATTCATACAGGTATTGTATAATTTGGGGACATTAATACAGGTATTGTATAATTCGGGGACAGTCATACACGTATTATATAATTTGAGGATATTCATACAGGTATTGTAAAATTTGAGAACATTCATACCGGTATTGTACAATTTGGAGACATTCATACAGGTATTGTATAATTTGGGAACATTCATACACGTATTGTATAATTTGAGGACATTCATACAGGTATTGTATAATTTGGGGACATTCATACACGTATTGTACAATTTGAAGACTTTCATATTGGTATTGTATAATTTGAGGAAATTCATACAGGCATTGTATAATTTGGAGACATTCATACAGGTATTGTATAATTTGGGGACATTCATACACGTATTGTATAATTTGAAGACATTCATATAGGTATTGTATAATTTGAGGAAATTCATACAGGCATTGTATAATTTGGAGACATTCATACAGGCATTGTATAATTTGGAGACATTTCCTTCAGTTATGTCTATTGCATAATTTAGAGAAATTTCTTGTAGATATTGTATACTTTGAGGAGAGTCTCTAATCTATGCTTTGTATCCAAGAAGTCTCAAAGTATGCAATGACTGTAAGATTGCCTGAATTTCTTTGTTTATTGGTTTATAAACGAGATTTTCGATTGATCTCGGTATATTAGGTGTTACAACACCAATTAGACGAATAAAAAATGGGTGTCCCAAAGCGTTGGATATATATGGACATATATATGGGGCATTCTTTCTCAACCGGACACCCCCCTCTGCCCAGAATTCATATGAACCCAAACAATTTTTTCAGGGCTGAAAATTTAGCTAAACATGTCTACTTTTATTTGCCGTGTGGCCCCTTTCAAAATTCAAAATGGCGGCGCGTCCACACTCCAAAATACAGGAAAACTATTTTATATTTTTCCTATTATGTGCAAAAAAAGTATTACAGCGTATATTAAAAAATT